GATTGGAGCTACTCCATATTTGTTGGTTAATGGGAAAAAAGCAGCCATACACGCTGAAGTCGAGATACCATCCTTGAGAATCATCCAAGAAGATGAATAGAGTAATATCGAGTGATTCAGCAAGCAGATTGACCCATTAACCTTGATGGACGAGAAGAGAATGGTTGTTGTTTGTCATCGTTAGCTAAATCGACAAAGAATGATTCGTGTTTTTCACAAGAGAGTAAGAGCCATAAATTTTGAAATGGGTCAATTGGTCATTAAACACATTTTCTTCACCAGGATGAGTATAAAGGAAAATTGGTACCGAATTAGCAAGGACCTTACATGGTTCGCAAGGTATTATCTAGAGGCACCTTGATCCTGTCTGAGATGGATGACACTGCATGGCCGAGAACAATCAATTGAGATGCTATCAAGAGATATTACATGTGAAGTTTCATTTTGTATTTCTCTCATTTCCCTGTAATAGTTCAATATGCTTGTATTTGCTTTGTTTAAAATGTTATCCCTTTTGTAATGAACTACGTCTGACCTGAATTTTAAAAATGAGATACGTAGGTGTCTATGTTGGCCTCGATCACCCCATTATCACTTTTTAATATTTCTTATCGGCGTCAGTTGGTTTTCCTTTGTAAAATTTCTTATTGATGTTAACCTTTAAGGGGAACTACGCTTGACCTGATTCCTGCCTCAATGGGATACATAGGCGCCACAAGGGTTCGGTCATATTCCCGTAAGATTTCTATTCCTCTTTATAATAGAAACTGGGACTGAATTTTTGAGAGGGACTAAAAAATTCTCGAGAAGAAGATTTTTCCTCAACAAGTCGAGACTGAAGTCACTTTAAAGCTTTCAATTGGGACAGAATTTTTTAGAGGATCTCAAGAATACGGTGATCATCTCACTGACTGTTGAAGATAAGTCGAGGCATGTAACTTGGACAGAAATTTTGAGGATGGCCTCATAATTTTGACATAGTTTTGTCGGCAGTCTAGAGTGACTTGGAATACTCTCCAGTGAATAATTAGATAGATCTCCAAGCATCAGACTCAAAGAAGTTCATTAAGCCTGACGTGACTTGATACTTGACAGTGACCTTTTTCAAAATACTACTTTTCGAAAATTTATTCTTTGTTAAGATTTTCCCTTTATGTTTCATTTGTTTTGGCATAAAATATTTTTTCTTATCTATCAAGAGTCGGGAGATCATAAAATCAACCGTCTATAGCAGTACAAGGAGCATAAAACTGAAGTAATCAACACAGATCAGTTTGTTTTAAAATTAACAATTTTTCTGTGAATGTAGGTTTATGGGTTTGCTATGAAATCAGCAAATTCCTCCGATCGATGAATATGGAGAAATCAAGGGGGAAAGATCTCTCCCAAAATTTTCAATTTTTCTATGAATACAGGAATTATTTATATTGCTTGTATCGAAAACATGGGAATGCGAACAACATTGTTTCATCCAATTCCCAATAGTATGAAGTCTATAGTAAAGATACAACTATGTTCAGGAATAAATCAAATGAAACCCCAGTAAAAACATTTTGCGGTTTTCATAGAGGACGTCATTTGCATCATATAATTAGGCATGACAGTATTACTACCCATAGGGTCATTTTATTTGTATTGTCAATTGAGATGATATGCTACATGGAGAGTCATTTTATTTATATTATCGACTTAAATGATGCATTACCTTGAGGTTCAGTTTACTGTATTTTCAATTGAGACGATATCACTATCCAGGGGGCACCAAGAAGATCAATGTGTTGCTTGATTGAAGCACAATCTTCATTTGGTACCAAAGATAATTCATGCATTGCAGGAAGATATTCATGCCTCGCGGAAAATCATGCATCACAGGAAGATAATCATGCCTCATGGAAAATCATGCATCGGGAGAAGCTATTCATGCCTCAAAGAAATTCGTACATCACGAGAAGATATTCATGTCTCGCAATAAGATATTAATGCATTGCGGAAGATCATACATCACGAAGAAGAAGTCATGCATCGAAAGAAGATATTAATGCATTGTGAGAAAATGTCATGCATCCCGAGAAAATATTCATGCATCGCGAAAAGTCATGCATCGCGAAAACATATACATGCATCGCAGAAAAGTCAAGCATTGCAGAGAAGAAGTCATGCATTGGAAGAGAAATTCATGCATTGCGAGAAAATATTCATATGCCATCGCGGAAAATCAAGCATCAAGAGAAGATATCATGTATCGCGGAAAATCATGAATCGCTAGAAGATATCTTGCATTGTGGGAAAATGTCATGCATATGCATTGTGTAAAGTCATGCATCACGAATAGATATTCATGCGTTGGGGAAAGAAGTCATACATTGCAAGAGAAGAAATTCATGCATCGTTGAAAATATCATGCATCGCGAAAGGAAATCATGCATTGCAAGAGAAGAAATTCATGCATCGCGGAAAAGATATCGTGCATTGCAAGAGAAGGAGATCGTGCATCCCAAGAGAAGGAGATATTTACCAATCATAAGAAATCAAGTCAATTGCATCCCTTTATTTGTTAAGAGTAAACACCAAGAGAATTATTGAAGACGACATAGAGAGAACTCTTGACACACTGAACAAGTTTTTATTTAATTTGACATCAAATGAAGAAGTGCATTGAAGATTATATTACAGCTATAAGATTTAAGCTTTATTTCCTTTACGTTAAATCCAAGAGAGTTGACGTCAAATGTTGAAGGCGAGTAATTAAATGTGAACATGGTAAAAGACACTATCTCCTATTTGAATTGCATTTTATACTAATGAGTTTTATCTCTCTTTGTCGAGAGCATCCGAAAGGATGAATTCTCCAAAAACCACAAGTGTGGACAACGTCAAAAAGGATGCAGCACAGAGTAGAACTTTTTCTTAGCAGTGAACAGGGAAATAGTTTGAAGAGGCGTGTCAAACTCTTAGGACGCGAGAAGAGGAGCAATTTCCACTACAATCAAATCACACTTCTATCAGAAGGCATGTGGGTTTTTATTTAGATTTCTCAGTTTCGGTCTCGCATCCAGAAATTTTAGTATCCGCCGGAAATATTTTGTAAAGTCATGCATCACGAAAAGATATGCATGCATCGGGGAAAGAAGTCATACATTGCAAGAGAAGAAATTCATGTATCGTTGAAAATATCATGCATCGCAAAAGGAAATCATGCATTTCAAGAGAAGAAATTGCATCGCGGAAAAGAAATCGTTTATTGCAAGAGAAGGAGATTGTGCATCTCAAGAGAGATATTTACCCATCATAAGAATCAAGTCAATTAAATATCTATTTTTGGCAAGAGTAAACACCAAGAGAATTATTGAACACAACATCGAGATAACTCTTAAAACACTGCATCAACTTTTATTTACTTTGACATCAAATGAAGAAGTGCATACAAGATGATATTACAGCTATAATACAAAAGATTTATTTGTTTTACGTCAAACCCAAGGGAGTTGACGTCAAATGTTGAAGGAGAGTAATTTAGTCTCAACATGGTAAAAGACATTATCTCCCATTTGAATTACATTTGGACTAATGAGTTTTTTCTCACTCTTTGTCGAGAGCACCCGAAAGGATGAATTCTCCAAAAACCACAAGTGTGGACAACATCAAAAAGGATGTTGCACAACGTGGAAATTTTTCTTAGCAGTGAACAGGGAAATAGTTTGAAGACGAGTGTCAAACTCTTATAACGCGAGTAGAGGAGCAACTTCCACTACAGTCAAACCACACCCCTATCAGAAGGCATGTGGGTTTTTCTTTAGATTTCTCGGTTCTGGTCTCGCATCCGGAAATTTTATTATCCGTCGGAAGAAAGTCTCCAATCTAATTGGCAATGGTCCAAGAGCTTCAGAAATTATGTCCGTGTAAGTTCTTGCCTATGGATGTGAAGAGCTCCACATTCTTGGCTAAGAGGTTACAAGCCTCCTTTTCATACTTAATTTAATTTGTCACTTGTACAGAACCAAATGTTATCTATCATAATAGATTTTCTTTTAAAGCGACCGAGTCGAACTACAAACAACATGATTCCTAAGATTTAAGGATATGTAGGCAGGTTCAACGTTGAAAACTCGGCTATATTCTAATGTTCGCTCTTGAATCGTATTCCCAAGCATCCTAGTCCTCTCATAATTCAGTACCCAAGTGACTTTCCAATTCTTTCAAAATCGCACGTTAAAGCAAGCGTATTGAACTACAAGTGGCCTTAATTCTGATATAACCTGAGATATGTAGGAGACCCATTTTCAGGGCTCGGCCATAATTCCTAAAGTCCGTATCAAATCCCTTTCCTAAAGACGAAGGCGTTGTCGGTCAAAATCGAACTTGTCAGATTCGTTTTCCTTGAATGTTTTGCATCAATTTGAGTAAAACGAGGGACTGTTGTTGACACCCAATTTGACCCTCTCCAACAAGCACTAATTCACCAGCTTCTTAAATTTCCAAACTGGTTGAAATAGTTGACTTTATAAGATTCAAAAAAAAATTCAAATCTTTTAAAGTAGCTTCAGTCGATTTTTGTAGTTTGAAGAGATATGTATTCTTCTATGTTTTATATAATTAGTTTATTTTATGAAATATTCGAAAATCGCGTCAAAAAGATTTTTAGTTTTATTCAGCGCTTTATATAATTTAGTTTTTGTAGCTTGTAGTTCGGATCCTCAACTTATAGTTAAACTTATTAGTTTATCTTGTTATAGTGTAAGTACTATATTTGTTTTATATAATTTTATATGTAATTAGTATATTTTATGATTATTCAAAAATCGTCTAAAGAGATTGTCTTTTGTTTAAATACTTTACTATTTAATTTAGTCATTTAATAGTTTACATCTTTGGATTAGTGATTTTACAATTAGGTCAATTTATTTATTTCGTTAAATTTAAGAAGCTCACTAAAGTAACTTACGTTAATTCATTTTAGTTTCCATTGTCTTTAAACCCACTCAAAGGGCCAGATATTGAGCCCTTTTATCTGTTGAATTTCAGCATTCCACGCCAAATCTCCCGGCCCAATTTCCCTTCACAATGAAGAAACCAGAAGTCCAACAGCAAAATTCTCATCTCCCAGCAGCCCACACCAAATATTCCTCAACTTACTTTTTCATTGAACCAACCTGCCCCATACCCACACGCTCTTCTTTTTCCCGTGACAAACCAGCAGCAACAACCCCATCCTTGCGCGTCGATCTTCAAACGCCATTTTGACAAGAATCGACGATCCAACGTCTCTTTCACCTTTTTCTGCCAGCCGCCGACAACTCTACTTGCAATATCAGAAGCAACACGCGAATCGTCCTATCCACCGTCAGATGTCTCCACGTGAAGCTGCAAGGACAGATGGAGCGATCCGAACTGTCCACGCTACCCTTGCAGTCCTGAAACGCCATTTTGACAAGAATAGACGCTCCAACGTCTCTTTCACCTTTTTCTGCCAGCTGCTAGCAACTCTCATTCTTGCAATATCAGAAGCAACACGTGAATCGTCCTATCCAGCGTCAGATGTCTCCACGTCAAGCTGCAAGGACAGATGGAACGATCCAAACTGTCCACGCTACACCTACAGTCCAAATTTAAGGGGATTTGGACAATTTCTCGTGCAAAGCCAGTTTTTTCCTCTCTTTGGAGAACAAAAATTTTGAATTGGAGGATGAATTAGGAATCCCGACTTTTCCCTTTTCCCTCCCAATTTGAAAAAACCTAATTCCTCCCTATAAAGGTACATAAAAAAATCTTCCCAAAGTCAAAAAATCATTCAAAAGTATACTTTAGGTATAATATTGTTTTTCTCTTTTCCGTTTGTTGTGGGTTGCAAAAGCTTGTCAAATTTTGCAAGATCATATTTCAGTGTTAAAGCATCCTCTCCAGCTCGTCCACTTTGAGTTTGCTGCTGCGAAAGAGGTAAATGATTCTCTTTTACATTTTAGCTCTTCTTTGTTCATTTTTTAATCATGAATGTTGTGAGTTTTTTTTTCGAGCGAAACAATGAGCTACTACTCTAAAGTCATTTATTAGTTTCGATAAAGCTTGAGTATCCATTTAGTTTTGCTTGAGTAGTCTACTGTTCTTTGGTTCAAACTCGAGTATTAATGGATATTTGGTTCTGTTTCTCCTCTATTGTTCATGTCTTGGACTAATGTTCTCTTTTCTTTGATTCGGAATGCTAGTGTTCTTTCGCCTGTTTCCATATAGTTAAGTTAGTTTTGAATGAGTCCTTTAAGTATTTTGGTTATCTTACACTCTGTTTGATGGTTGTTTTCTTTCTTATCGATACCTTCTTGGAGTTTCTTCTACTTGTTATTGTTGTTTTTGTTGATTATAGTTTTGTTTTAGGATGCATTTGAGGCTGAGTATTTTATCATATTTAAGAGGATTACATGTTGGATTTGAACTAATCACTCCCTCTAAACTCCTATATTTATAGTGTAATAAGCTAATATCCCGAAGCTCCTATATGTAGAGTTCTTCTTGTTTATTTGCATTGATTTCCTCATGTGTGCAATCCATTGATTTCTTCTTTTAAGTTCAATTGCTAGTGGTTTGGTTATGTGTTGTATGGTCTTCGTATTGGTTCACTAAAATGAAAGAATGAGTTTATGTCCTAGTTCATTCAATTAATGTAAAAAATGAAACTTTAGAACATGTGAAAGATGGAAGCATTTTGTATCTAATTAAATTGTCTAGAAAGATGGAACCATTTTTTTATCTATCTAATTTATTTTCCTTCTCTGTTTTGTACTCGGCCAATATTGATTTTTATCTTGTGATAGGTTATAGTATTGATTAAAAGTTTTTTTTTTAGTTTACATCTCATATGACTTTTGATCTAAAGCTTGATACTTGGTTACTCACTGATTCTTTGTCTTATTTTCATTAAATATGAGTTCTTTCTTGAAGCATAAATGCCTAGTTCTTGCTTATCAAGTTAGAGTTAGAGGCTAAGTCCATGTTCATTTAACTTTTAACCAAGTGTTTTATGATTGTCTTTGTTATTATCTAAAGTTGTTTTCTTCCATGACTCACTTCCTTCACCTAGTCAAGAAGTCCAACTATGTATTCTCGAAAGTCATAAAAATGAAACAAAAAATGAAGAAATAACTAGTTTGAAGATTTGCATCCCTCCATTATTTACTGTGAAATTGTGGATGTCAATTTTTTCATCCGGATCCTGTTATAAGATTGTTTTTTATTTATAGTCGATTCCTAAAAAAATGTGTGAAACGTATTAAAAAGGAAGGGGATATTTGTCTGCTCCTTCCGCTCATGTCTGTTTTATTTGTTCACAAGCATGTTTGGCCAGCTTATGAGATTGTTTGGAAGCGTTCATCATCTATCTTCGTCCTTAGAGTAAAATTATAGCCTTAGTTCGGGTCATCTAAGCACCTTCTAATTGTTCAATTCTTTAGGGCCAAGTAATTAATTTTTCAGCATGTATTTGTTAGTTAAAATCGCACTGACTCTCCTATCTTTGTCTAAAATTGAAGATATTTTTCCTGGTTGTTAGTTTGCTTTCTATTTCAATGGCCAATATGGTGGTTTTACTTAACAACTCTTTTGCAAATCTTGTATTTATCCATGCATAACATTGTTTAATTTCGTCAAATAGAGTTGGTCAAACCAAAGCATGTGATTTTTTTATTTGGTAATTTTGCGGTATTTTCCTTTTAATATTTTGAGAATTTTGTTGGTTAATAATTGTGTATTCCCTGGAATATGTACATAAGTGTGTATGTGTGTGTGTGTGTCTCTCTCTCTCTCTCTATATATATATATATATTTATACACACAAATATGTGTGCTATTGTTTAATGTCGTAGTTTCTTTGTTAACTTTGTCATTGTTAATTTTGCTCCTTTGTTCTCTCCCTTTAAAGTCGCTTGTTTCTGTCTAATTTGGATTTCTTAAGTGGATTTGATCTTTGAATTCCGTCTTGTTCAGTTACATCTCATTTATTTTATTTCCTAGTATGCTAATTTCTCGTTATTGTTTGCATGTAAAATCCGTCCGAGTTCGCCAAGAACTCATTTTCATTCTTACGTTCTGAGTTGGCCACGGAGGTCCAAATTTCCTCCTCTCGAGTCAAACCTACAACCGATGAACAGGTCCCGAAATGAAGGAAACCTAAGTAGAAGAATTTGAAGAGATGGGGCCAAAAGAGCCCAAATTTATTTTTTATTTTTTTGTTATTTTTTGGTCTTAGCCCTTGTCATTTTGTATTATTAATAAGAGCAACTTACAAAAATAACTATATGTATAGCGAATGAATATCAATAACTATAAGTCTGTTAATAACAATATATTACTATAATTTATAGGGATAATGCCCAAGTACCCCCTCAACCTATGCCCGAAATCCCAGAGACACACTTATACTATACTAAGGTCCTATTACACCCCTGAACTTATTTTATTAATAATTTTTTACCCCTTTTCGTCCTACGTGGCACTATCTTGTGGGTCCAACGATGGTTGACTTTTTTTTCAAACTAGTGTCACGTAGGCAAAAAGGGGTAGAAAATTACTTCTAAAATAAGTTGAGGGGGGTAATAGGACCTTAGTATAGTATAAGTGTGTCTCTGGGATTTCGGGCATAGGTTGAGGGGGTACTTGGGTATTTTCCCTAATTTATATCACTTTTTAGCTGTATTTTTGTATAATTTTTTATTTTTTTTATTTATACATTCATACATCTCTAAGTACAAACAAACTAAAAAAGGAATTGACTCTAAATATAACTCACTATCCTTACATTACGTCCATGCAATAAACAACTTCTCATAATTAATTGTAACTAAATATGACTAATTTAAAGACATATCAGATCTTATTCATTATTAGTTTAACAAAAAATGTGACACATCATACTCAATTTTCTTGTAATCTCCATATTTATTATTTTGTCGTCGTAAAGGTATATATATCTTTTTTGTTAATTCAAGTTATTGTTGTAAGAAAATTGTTGAATTTGGAAATGAAGGTTAAGTATTTCGATTTTGAATAAATGAACTACATGTCAATGATACACTAGTTGGTAAACAAAAAATGAATACACCGATATAGAATACAATGAATACATTGTTGTTAAACCCAAAACTGAATATGTCGTAACACTATACTTGTATTCCCGAATCAACTTTTTATCTTTGATATATTACTTATATATATCTAGATATAGTTGTCTTTGTAAATCGACATATTCACTTGTGCTTAGATAATACTCTAAGTATATATGGATATGAAAATTGATATATTTCAACGCTGTTGTTAAGCAAAAATATGAATACATTATACAAACGAGCAAAAAAGATACAATTAAACTGTATAAGTATGGATACATTAGACAAACGAGCAAAAAAAAAATACAATTTGTGGGTATCAAACTATATAAGTACGAGATAAATATGTATTAAGAAGTACTTGATGGATAAAAAATCACAAATATCGCTCCTACAGTGATGTTAAGTATCTTAAATTTGAATGAATTTGGGGTGGGGGGGAGACATAAAATATGTGATGTATGAATATTGGTAAAAATTTTTTGATGATGATAAACATGGAAAAGGATCAATAATATGTCTGCCATAATTATTTAGGCATTCAATTATAATTACTTTCATATTTAATATTTATTTATTATATTAAATATTAAAAAAAAATTGTATAGAATTAACTTTGCTATTTATAGTCTAATTATATCCATAGGACATGAAAAAAAATAAAACATAGCTATTTTATTATATGGATGTTTGCCATAATATGAAGTTTTTCTTATTAATTATTATCTTGTTAGTTTATGACAAGTACAATTCTTATTAATTATTATCTTGTTAGTTTATGACAAGTACAATCAAAATGGGCCTAAGGCCAAAACGAAATGGGTCTATATATCAGTCTAGGCGGACAGAAACAGATTTGGATCCAACGCTCTCCCCTCCCTCTCTCTCTCTCTCTCTCTCTCTCTCTCTCTCTCTCTCTCTGTCTGTCTGTACTTTATTATTTACTTGCTGATTGATACTTGTTACTAAAGGCGCTTCATTTAATTTTTAAAAAAATAACCAAATCGATTGTTTCTAAATAGACTTAAAAATTAAATTTTACAAGTCAAAGTCTCAATTAGATATTAAAATCAACACTTAACTTTTCAAACAACTCTAGATAATATTTTTTATCGCAAAATTAAGTTAAGTTTTAGCCAAATAAGTTAGTTGTTGGATAATCGCGAGTTAGCAAATATTTTAGGTGTCTTAACACCTTCCTCAAATATAAGTAGGAATCCCCGAATCCCCTTAAAAAAATTTCAACTGGCTTCCTGTTTTAATTAATTGAAAAACAATTTTCTTGATTTTTCTTAAAAATTAAGTGGCGACTCTCAAAAAGTCAAAAATTTATAAAAATATATTTTTTCGAAAACGTAAAACACTTGGTCTCTTATGGTGTCACTATTGGATGGTTTTAGGCCCTATCTTAAAGCTAGATGGATAATGAGGTACCCTCCTAATGATGGTTAGTGGAAGGTTAAAGATGATGAATCTTCAAAGGATAATTCAGGGCCTAGTATTGCAGTTTTTTGTATTAGAAATAATAATGGAGACCTAGTTAGTGCAAAAGATTCGAAGATACTTGATGTTTTTAATTTAGTGTTTGAGGCTGATAGGCTTTATAATATTGTTGGGAGAAGGGATATACCAACATTATTGTAGAAACTGACTCATTGACAATGGTATATGTGCTAAATGGTGTCTACCAGGTACCATGGAGAAATGTTATCACACTATGTATAACATTCTCTTTTCATAGCTTTCCAATAGTCGCATTCTCACGCGCTGTTGAAATATCATTATTTTGTAAAAGTATTATTTAATTAATAAATTATTATTCATAAATTTAAAGAGTGCTTTAAAATTTAAGGCTTAAGTCATCGACAATCTCTTAAAATTGTCCGCACAATTCACTTAGAAAGCTTAACTATCACTTGTACCTATTGGACACCTAAATCGTTTAAAACATCTGCCTAAATACAAAATGTTGATATGGCAAAAATGGTGCTTTCCACTTCCCTGGAGCGCATGAAAAAAAAATCAAAACAGTATTATTTTGATTTTTCTTATCTTCATTTTTTCTTGATTAACACTTGACATTATAATTTACTTATAAAATTTTATTTTTTTTTCATTTACATTTTTAAAAAAAAGAAAAGCACATAATCATACTCTTCATAATTTAGTTTACAAAATTTTCTCCATTTTTGCTTCAACATTGTTTTTCTTTCTTTTTTTTAATAAAAAAATATAATTTCTTCCAAATCTAAAAATAAATGGAAATCAATTATGAAGAAATCATAAGATTCAGATTTGAAAGAAAGACTTTCTTTCGTATGATTTATTCGAATTTCATAAATATAATGAAACAAATATAAAGAAAGAAGAGACAAGATAAATGATTTTTGCGTATAAAAAAAGCTAGAAGATATTGGTTTATCCCAATTTTTGAACAAATATTTTTATTCAAATTCAAATATAAACTCATTAAATTTATCAAAAATAATATTCAAAAACTTGATCAAATTAATTTTTGAGATATCAATTTCTTTTGTCATCGATGTAGAAATGAATAACCACCGACAAAATTTTCTTTTTTTTTTCACTCTTAGTATGAAAATATATTTCTTAAAAAAAATTCAAGTTATTGGAAAAGAAATTGCATTTTGTGATTTAGAAAGAATGTGTTTTGGAAAGAAGATGAAGATGAAAGGGTGTTGGGTAGGGGTGGGGCTGGGTAGATAGGTTGAAATTTTCATTTTCATTTTTTTTTCTTTTTAAGAAAATAGATATAAATGTGTTTGAAATAATATTAAACAATTTTTTTTGAAAATAATTGGAGGTCAAGTGCCACTTTTTATTTATTAATTAGCCGTTTTGTCATGTCAGTGTATCTCAAACTCTTCATATTTTTTGCTGATTATCAAAAAATATCTAAAAGGAATGATTTTTGAATGGGTAAAAGTGTTCAATAAGTAGTAGGTATTAGTCTTAGTTGAGGTGTCTAAGTGAATTATACAAACAACTTTAACGAACCGTCAATGACTTAAGAAAAAATTCAATAAATGTTAATTTTGATTACATCAAAATCATTTTATCATATTTATTTAAAAAAATCTATTAAATACTTATAATAATATGGTTAAAGGCGAGGTATGTATGGAAAAAAATTCTTAAAACATAGTTTAATTTGACCTAATTATTTATTTCATGATTTTTTTTAATTTTAATTTTACTTTAAAATAAATATTGACAAATAAAATGTTATTAAACTAAAATTTATAAATCCTCACGTAAAAAAAAACTAAAATTAGACTAAATAGCTATCCATCACTATAATAATTATTATGGAAACATGAATGTTATAAAATACTAAAAATTATCGTTAATAGAAAAATTAAATAACCTAAGAAAAAAATATTTAAATTAAAATATGATTAAAAAAACTGTAAAGAAAAATAAAAAGTATGATCTATTCGATGTAATTAATATATTGATTTTTTTTATTTTATATTTTAAATAGTAAATATTCTTTTAAAAAAGTTAGTTACCTATATTTTATGAACTATTAGTGACATTCCATAACACAAAATTAAATGACAAAATTTAAATAAATTTTGAAGTTATGCCCACGAATGTAAAATAGTGATAATTGTAGAGAATGACAAACTAGTAAAGATAATTAAATGGAGTACCTTATCTTTCATTTATTCCCTTTAATAAAAAAACTATCGGTCAATTTGCTATATAGGGACCACAGAATTATATAAAATATCTGCCTAAAATTAAAACTGTCATTTTTCTTTTTCCTCTTCATATTCTACAATTTTTTCTCCTTTCCTTCAATTCCTCCTTAATATTATCAACAAATTCAATTTCAAATTTCAAACTTCTTTAGCACGTCCTACAGTTTTCAAAAGTATTTCAAAACTTTCAGATACCGCCAAATTCATCTAATTTTGTCAATTTTTGTTAATGTTTTTCAATTTTTTCAAACTACCTTTTTACTCCACTTCATAACCCATTCAGAATTTTGTGAATCAACATGGCTGTGTTGCTTTCTTTAATGTTATACTCAATTTTGAGTTTAATCACATTCCTATCAATCCTTAGTTGCATTGCAATGACATTATACAACTCATTATACGATGAACTTTCTTTAAAAATCAGCCCCTCAATTGTATAATCGACGTAACAATTGTCATTGTCCCATTTACCAGAATGCATAACCAAAATAGTCAATGAAGCCATTTTCAGAACATCCGTATAAAAAATTAAAT